TTCCTTCCTTCCTTCCTTCCTTCCTTCCTTCCTTCCTTCCTTCCTTCCTTCTTTCTTTCTTTCTTTCTTTCTTTCTTTCTTTCTTTCTTTCTTTCTTTCTTTCTTTCGCCTCTGAATTGTCAGGAAGCAGGGAAATCACAGAAGCCCTGGAGAATTAGTGACAGGGGCCCCAGGAAACACACGCCTTCCCCCACCAGCAGTACGCAGAGGCCAGGTACAGGAGACGCCCCTGCCATTCCGTCCCCGACTCTGGTGTGTGAACTTGACCTTTACAGAGAAGCAGGGGCAGACCCCAGTTTTATGCTGTATGTAATTTTGTGGGTGTGCAATGTTTCTGATCCTGGCTATGGCACCATGAGTAGTTTGGCAATTCGTGTCCCCCTGCCGAAGACCGTGCATACCTATGTCTCAGCTGCACTTCTGTAGCACCCACCTTCTGAAGCCATAGTGGTTTTCCATGGAGGAAGAAAGGCTCTGGAGAGACACTGTGCCCCGCCCCCTGAAGCTTTGAAACTATGAAAACAATGGTTCCTAAGGCATCGGACTTCCACCAGAAATCCCGTGCTGGAGGAAGTGAGAGTCTGGGGCACCATCTAGAGTGGGAGCTTGACTCCTAGGAAGAGTTTTCACCAGTTCTGGAACTTACCCGACCACACCAAGACAGGCTTGCTTAGCTACGCATACCCATTGCTCTTTATTGAAATCTAAACCTCATATCATGGCCCCCAAAATGGACTTGTGGGGGTGTGGTAGGGGTGGTAATTGGACCCCTTTAATTCTTCTTCTTCCCAACACGGCTACATTGACTACATCTCCATTCTCTGCTTTTTTTTCTCTTTCCTTCAATTGTCCTGTTGAGGATGACTGCTAAGCCTTTAGGGCTGCCAGGGTCTGGGTTGTACTGTTAAAAACTCCGTTGAAACGTTTAAACTGTGGGACTTGGGCCTTTCAGGCAAGGCTCATTTATTGGACTCTGCCATGATATTGTGCATGATTGGCTTCCTCTTTGATCACTCATTTGGTTAAACTGAACTTTTACTGTGTAAAGAAAAATGAAGGCTTAGACAGATTTGAGGTGGATGTTGCAACTTTATATAAAGGGATAACATAAATAGAATGCAGCAGAGAAGTTGTCCTTTGTCTATGTTCCGGACACCTCAGCAGGGGCCCACACAGACACCTGCAGGATTTTCCCTGGCAAGAGAGTCAGCAGGAACCAGAAGTGGGACTTCAGGGCTGGCCACAACCCTCAATGCTGCGTGAGAGATGCATCTTAGCAGGCACCAAATGGGGCTCTCAGAGCATGGGTGTGAGGACTGATCGGACAGGTCTGGAGGGAAAAGGTGTTAGTGATAACTCAATAAGAGTCATGATTCCTAGAGAGCACATAGGGATGGGACTGATGCCCCACTGACCTGGACCAGGGCAGTGAGAGAAAAACAACGCTAAGTTTCCACCAGCAATTCAGATTCCATATTTAGGGACACCAGGGGGCGCAGATTCTGCTGATGGCCCCATGAAGAGGGGCCAGCTCACCGGGGACAGAGGCAGCACTAGATTTTTCTCTAATGAGAGGTGGTGGATGAGGTCACACAGGGAGACAGGAACCCTGGCCTTGAGGAGTGAAGGGCACCAGCAGGGATCCAGGGAGGACTATGTACGTCCTGACTGGATGGAGAGAAGGAAACATCTGAGAAGCCTTAGGAAGCAGAGGACTGTTGGATTCTGCCATCAAGCGGGTTTTGACTGGATGGAGAGAAGGAAACATCTGAGAAGCCTTAGGAAGCAGAGGACTGTTGGATTCTGCCATCAAGTGGGTTTTCAGGCAGAGGCAGAGTGGAGAGGGATCTCAATGCTTCTCCAGGTTGCACCCACGGAGCTTGCTGCTGGGTTGAATCTGGGTGACAAGAGACAGGTCTGGAAGCACACTCACCAAGTGATTATTAACAGATTAATTCTGGGAAGTATGTAGGAGCCTAGCACCCAACTGGAATCTTAGCCTCTACTCTTTTAATACAGTAGATTATACCTATCCTAAAACATTAGAAGAAAATTCTGATTTTGGAAGAATATTTTGGTCCTATTTTGTGAAATAATAGGGCTTTATCAATAATAGTGTTCTAATGACTATCGTATGACTCTCAAAGTTCTCAACAAGGAAGCATCAAACTTAACTTGGAAAACTTGGATCAACTAAGCCAAGTCCTTAGCACTCAAAGTGTACACTGTGTGTTCTCAAAAAATATTTGCATAAGAAAGTATCCACGAGGAAATGTCAGAGCTCACCATTTCCGAGTAGCTGGGGGAAAAAGAACTAAACCCAAAGTTGAAACATCTGAAGGAATCTAGTCCTGGCCTCACTGAGGACTCGGTCAGGTTACTGAACCTGAGTTTATTTGGCATTTTCTTCTGGAAAGTAAAAGCTCCTGCCATGCCGACTTCACAGACAGATGAGGTGTGTGGAAAGGCAGATGTGAAACCATAAATATGAGAAGATTTTGAAAATTGGATGTTCTCTGATAGTAAAAAAAAAAAAAAAAAAAAAAAAAAAAAAAAACTTCTACAGAATGTATAGGAAACAACCATCATCCTATTTATTGAACGTAGTTAGCATTATCCCTGTGCACCAAGGTGAAGACGTGGTCCATACCCATTTTTCTCACTTTACTTGCTTAGTCTCATTGACACTGGAATAACAGAAAAATGTATAATGCATGACATCCAGAAAAGAAGTCACCCTAGCCTCTAGTTTTGAAAGAAAAATCCATGGGGAAAATGATTTGAAAGAGGAAAAACTCTAAACTTCAATAAAGCCATGTTAATGCTTTCATTTAGAGAGGGTATGGAGATTGAAATGGGGCTCCATCCAGAACAGGGGGGAGCTACCTTCCCTGTCTAGGGACATCTGACTGGTCTGTAGGCATTAAGGTTGAAACACCCACTCTCCAGCTCAGATTTTATCAGGCTAATCATACAACCTGAAGTATAATGGATGGAGGTCTGGATATGTGAGTCTAGAAATAACTATATGAAGACAACTACACTGGCAAGATCTGCTGTGCCTGTGGACTTTGGGTGAGGACCATGGGATGATGAGGGTCACAAGCGGCAGGGCCTGACTTTCCCTCTGTGGAGTCTTCATGTAGACCTGCAAGTTCTAGATAGTAGACAGACAACCAGAGGGCTGAACAGAGATTATCCCCCAGCCAGTACCAGGCTCCACCTCTTCACCATTCCTGGTCAGTGGCACAGGAATCATAGTGCAAGGCAACTTTAGGAGGATGAGAAGTCAGTGTTAGAACACAGGCTTGGCCTTGAGTCTATCCAAAGTTATGAAGATGCCAAATTGCTCAAACTTCCAGTGGACTGGGGTTTGGGAAAGTGGGGATCTTTCCAGACCAGTGATGATCATGCCGTGCTGGTATTTACTCGGGTTGAAAACAGTCTGTTCCTTAGACAGACACAGCACACACCAGGGTATATATTGTGCATCAGACCTTGGGCTCTGTGACATTGGGCATACATACCTCTCCAAGCTGCCCATTGACCCATCTTAGGTGCACAAGAGAAACCCATCTTAGCGTAGTTATTTATTACCAGAGAAGCAGCTTGCTCTGTCATCTGAGTAGTTCGACAAGGAAGTGTCTGACCAAGCTAGCTCCTGCTGGTCCACTGTGGCAAGTGTGCGTCCCTCCAGGGAGTTCTTAACAGCAGAGCATTTGACTAGGGGTTCTCTCTTTTTCTGTAATAGACTAGATATTATTGAGTCATAAAATTCCAAGACATGTTTAGAATTTTCATACAGTTACTTGGGAAATTCTTCCAGATAGATTCCGGCAGGATTATGGAACAATCTATTTCGTATTTCATTGTTAAATCAGAAGTTTGAAGTTCCACTCCACTTAGTAGGCATGAAGGAAGTTAGAGGCTTTCTTATGGAAAAATTCATTGTGCATTAAAAAGAATACCAGATCATGAATCACACAGAACAACCATGATTAGCAGTCTACTGGGATTGAGCAACGTATACCGTATTCAGACTCAAGTTCTCTGTGCATGAGATGAGCAAAGCTCTTCTGCATCTAAGAAGATGTTCTGTTTTATTAGAAAATTCTAATCCAGATAATTTCAGGATATCATGGGAATGGACTATTCCGTGTGAAAATTTACTCTTTGGTGACACGAAAAGAAAAAAATAGAAAGCAAAACAAAATAAAAATCTCACTTAAGTATAAGTAAAATTGTAATAAAATAACTAGTCTCATTATTGTCAAATAAAAACTCAAAGACTTCGAAGTGTCATTTTATATTAAGTAAGCTACTCTTTTGGACTGACCAACATTGTTGAGGTCTGGTGGACATCCACACACACCCTTCAAATACCCTGGAAAGCTGGCTGGAGGCCTGAGGGTGTTACTGACATTCCCGTGGTTACCTTTATAATTTCACCTCAGACATCTTTGGGTCCTGAGTCAGACCAGAACAAGCTACTGAGACCAGACACACTGCTAGGAAGTAAGCATAGCATCCATCAAAAGGGAGCTGGGATAGCGGCTGGACTAATACGCTCACACTGCCAGATACACCATAGTCACCTAATAAGCTCAGTTTAAGTCACAGATCTAGGGAGACCCTAGGGCAGAGCTTTAGCATATTACATAGAGCACTGAGGGAAAAAAACTATCTCATGGGGAACTGGCCAAGACCACTGAACTATTTAAATTGCAGAGAATAAGCCTTAGGAAGGCCACTCAGCAGTGGGCCCATTTCTCACCTTAGTTATTGACTGTACGTTTTCCCTTGGTCTTGAACTATGTTCCGTGGTTACCCACTTCTGGCAGGGCCCCTCCCCCCACAACCCTCCCCCCTAACTCTCCCACACACACACACACCCTCACCTTCAGGAGCTCACGTTCCTGATGTTATCAGAGTCGTTTCTGTTCTGTCCCTTCCCCAATCTATCAACTTCTGCATGAACAGGTATTCACTAAGTACTATGAAAGTCTTACTTTGAATATTTGGAAACTAAAATAAATCAGACATAGCCCTTGCCCTCGGGATATGTCCATCTGTCGAAAGGATACAGACACTAACGTACAATGCCCTGTGTGACTGGGGCAGAAGCAAAGGAGTCCCTTCACTCAGCAACGCATCCCAAAGGCTCCGATTTTCATCGGAAACTAGAAGACGGATGGGGGAAAACGGAATAGAAGTAACTCAAATGTGTATTTGACATTTCTCTTCTGCCTCCTTAATCTGCCTGGCTTCCAGGTGTCACCTGGGTGTCTGGTCAACGAAAGGAAAGGAAAGGAAAGCCCCCAGGTCAGCCAAGACTTGCTGTTCCTCGCTGAAATCATCCAAAGGACAGATGGGAACATGAAGAAGAGGTCAGACTGGAACTAGTTGGTGTTATGGGAGGACAGACCCAGTGTGCATGGAGACAGCCTGTTTCCCCTCTGGACACCTCAGAATGCTCTCCCATGGCAGCTCAGATGGCCCAGACGCAGTGTTGAAAGGCCTGTCTCTACATCGCCCAGCCTAAGCTGTACTGTGCTGGACGCTGCCTCCTGAGTATATCCCAGAGACTCACTTTACACTTCTTCATGGAACTCGGCCTTGACTCATTTTAACTCCACTTTCTTGTCCCAGAAGTTATCTGTGCCTGACTCTTCAGACAGATGCACTCATGGATATCTAACCATGCAGGCAGGGGACTTGATGGAAGAGCCATGAAGGGTGAATCCTGGGCAATCCCAGGAGCCTAGGTACCCTCTGCAGCTGCATGGCGACATCGAAGAAGGCACAGCCTCTGAGCAGCTGTGGTCAGTCAGAGCCACCACTACAGATGCCCAGGCTACCTGGAGACTGGCACAGTTGTGAGAAGAGGTGCAGGACGGGGGCTACATTTTAACTGAAGAAAAACCACAAGGCTTTATCGTGAGCTTGTTCCAAGCACAGCGTGAAAGGCAGTAACTCTTGACGACCACATTGCTTAGCTAGTCTTCAAGCCCAGCTAGTATCCTGCTTTGTCCTCCTGGCCAACCAGCAGCATAGACCGGTTCTGCCAAAGGCATGCAAGCAGGGTATGTGCCAACTACCTGTCTTAGGTGTCGGCTTCATGGAAAATCATTGAAGACTAGTGCTTCATCTCATACCCAAAACTTGTGTCGTAGCGCAATCTTCTCACAGCTACCTGAGGACCAACAAGGGCCAGGTCTGGTCATTTCCAGAGCCGTCTATAGTTTATGTGCCTTAGGGCCATTATTCAAAAGTAGGTGGCCTAGAATTCCTTTGAAAGAAGTAAGAACAGATAAGAGGTTTCTGTGGGGCAGCTGTGACCTTTCCTAGCCCTACCCTCACAAAATGGGACAGCTACATGACAGGCAGTACCCCAGTGAAGGGCCTGTACAGGGATGTGAGGCTGTGTGCAGCCAGCATGGAAAGCCCAAAGAGTGACTCTGCCCTATGCTCCCCAAGGAGGCACCAAAGGTCAGTGGGTCAGGAACTTGGAAACTCCAGTGGCTGCTGTGGACCCGGCATCCATCCCAACATCATGATCCTTTCTTGGCACGCATGCCACTGCTGTACCATATGGCAGAAATTATGAAATTTACTCCGTCGTTTTAATTTTCGTGATTAAATATGGATTCCACGTGTCATCACTCAAACATCCATTTTGCACTGTGTTCAGAGGGCCCAGTGGCTGAGGCCTCCTCCATCAATGAAACAGACTCCAGGGCCGCAACCACAGAGCACAGCAAGTTCCCTTTGATTTTAGAAAGATTCACACGCGTGCTACAAAGGGAACACCGCCGGGCCTGGGGAGCCGTCCTGTCCACTTTCAAACACCTCCAATTAGCTGTTCTTGGCTCTTCGGCAACGGAAAGCGGAAAGTGAGCCCTTGGCAGTGCGGCCGTGGATGATGGAGGGCCTGGAGAAGCAGCTGCTGCCCAGCGGCCCTCTGGGGCTGCAGAGGCTGTGGGCTAAGGCCGCAGTGGGCAAGGCCCTGCCAGGAAGCAGCAGCTCCGGGAAGGGCCTGCGGCCACCACCTTCCGCTGCTCTGGCAAAGCTGAAGCCGTGGGATGTGGACAAATTCTTAAATTCTGAATAATGCCAAAGCAAGTTTATCTGGGCAGAAGAGCATTTAAGTGGTTACTCAGGGGAAAACATAGGAAGCCTAAAGACATCTGTGTGTATTCAAACCCTGACCTAAACGCCTCCAGGGTAAGCTAGGCTGTGGGGAACTGCAAATGCCCATTCACAGAATTGACCTTTGCACTGTATATTTTGAGCACTTAGCAAAAAACAAGCAAATGTATTATTATATATGCCTTGTAGGGATAGGGTGTAGCATGCACAAAGAAGGAAAAGAGAGAGGGGGGGGTGCTTTAGGGTTTCCATTGCTGTGAAGAGACACCATGACCACGGCACTCTTATAAAGGAAAGACATTTATTTGAGGCGGTGGCGTACAGCTTCAGAGGTTTAGCTCATTACCGTCATGGTGGTGAGCGTGGCACCAGGGAGTATGGCAGCGTGCAGGCAGGCATGGTGCCGGAGAATGCTGCATCTTGATCCAAAGGTAACCGGAAATGAACGTCTCACTGGATGTGGCTTGAGCATATATGACCCCTCAAAGCCCGCCTCCACAGTGACACGCTTCCTCCAACAGGGCCACACCTAATAGGGCCACTCCCGTTGGTGACCATTTTCTTTCAGACCACCACAGGGAGAAAGACAGACGAGAGATGAATTATACAGAGAGAGAACAAGGCAGTGAGTGACCAGTGACCACTTCTCCACAGTAGTCAGAGGTGACCTCTAACCTAATGTCTGACTACAAGAAGACAGACCTAAAAGATGAGGACAACCTGGATCACATTGTGCTACTGTGGCCATGTGCCAGAGTCTGGGTATTTATAAAGCGAAGAGGCTCCTTCTTCATGATTCCAGCAGATCAGTGTAAGCAGCATGGTGCTGGCAAGCATCCTGGTGAGGGAGCCACGTGGAAAAGAAACAAAGAGGAAGACGGCTGAGCACAGAGGGGGCACACGCGTGTACAGGACACCAGGTAACCAGGGCCACCACGGTCCTAGAACCCACCTTATACTACAGGGGACTGCTCCCCTCCTCATAGACCTGTCCTACTTCCTGGAGGCCGGTCAGCCCCTTCTGGAGGATGGAGATCCTTGACCAGATCTCTTCCCACTAGACCTGAAGATCTCACTCCTCCTCAACAACACCCTGGAGACCAGGTGGCATCAAGTGAGTCGGTGAGCCAGCCCCGTGGGTCCAAACGGTCCTCTCTCACCCTGTGACAATATGTCTCCAGCCATCTACACTTCAGCTCATGATTAGAACTAACAAGTACACCGGACAGTTAATCCTGGCTCCAACATGGGGCACAAGAGACAGGCAGGACATAAGTTCCCAGAAGCACGTTACAAGCCTTCTGTTCTCCAGACTACCTAGAGCCCCAGATTCACGACACCTCTGACACACAGGCAGAGCAGGCCCTCAGGTGGATAAAGCCACCAGTGTGGTTTCATCAAGAAATGACTCTTCACCAAGCTGAGAAGTAACTTTTTACTGTGTCGCTTTTCTCCAGATTGAGACCAGGCTTTCTCAAGCACCTCTGTCTTTCTGATTCATCCTTCTGGACATTCGTTCTGCCTGCCCAAGAGGGTAGAATCCCAGCGTCCCCCTCTCTGATGGTCTTGTTGTTGATTCTCCTTTCTCTTCTCCTCCA